ATGTCTTCTTCTAGAATGCTTGCATATAATATGACTCCTTAAAGCTTCAGCTATTCCAAAAATATACAGGACTCTATGCTTTTGTCTACTTAAATGGTCATTTGCTCACATTCTTTGATCTTTAGTTCCTTTGTCTTAACTTCTTCCAGTAGCCTGGAAAAGTCTCTGTATTTTTTTATGATTATTATTATTATTTTGGACAAGGAGTTTGCCACTGCCTCCTTCCTAGAACTGAGAGAGTGAATGACTGGCTCAAAGTCACCCATCTGATTTCCTTCCTACAGCAGGATTAGATGTCACTGTCACTTAAGCACTGCACTAAACAGGTTCTCACACATTTTAGCTCAAGAGTATTCTTTCTTTCTCTTAGACATGCTTTGTCTAAACCAGGCACTTGGCATAGTGAGCAGGACAGGTGAACTGATACTATATACTATTACTACTACCACCAATATGAATATGCACTATGAAAAGCAAGAAGTCTATGTCATAAGTGTAACAGAATGCCATATAAGCTTTCAGTATCCATGCAACATGATATAAAGTGGAAGAAATGTCATGCTCCATTGTCTAATTCCTGAAGAAATGAGTATAAATAAATGTACATCAGAATGATAATTGATTAAAATGTGGTAGAAAATGGTTTCATAAAAGCTACTGATAAGTTACTGTATATGAAAAAGCTTTTTCAGCTTTGTGTTTTCTGTGTCACCATATATATACATATACACGCACACACATATATGAGAGAGAGATAAAGAGATAAAGAGATAAAGAGATAGATAGGACAATTACTTTGTGGCTCATTTTGTGAAGGCACCATATGCATACTAGAATCATCTAGACAATATCAGTACATTTTTTTTGAGGGTGAGGGGCTTTTAGCTTAAGGAATATGACATTTTCTTCTATATTTATATTCCTGTATTGAATGTTTCCTTCTTGTTTTTCTTGCCTTTTTTGTGGATATTCGTTGTCCACGTTATGCTTTACAGATATAGTTACTATTTTGCTGTGCTTTACTCAATAAAGTCTTTAAACATTTACCTAATTTGTGTGGATATTACATATATCGAACAGCGCAAATCCTTCAAGAGCCTTTCTAATGCTCGCTCCATCTGGACAGGTCCAGTACTCTGAGATGGGAATTAAAAGTCTGAGACTTAAACAGAGAACACGACCTTTGGAGTTATACAAAGATTCTCCATTTCCTTTATTCAGCAAGCAAGAGGGGGGGGGGGGAAGGTTAGCTCAAATGAGCTCTAAGCATTTAGACTTTTTTTAAATATGGAGAAATCAAAAGATTTCACTAAATTCCTCAAAATACGATGTTCATTTGCATTAACACTACTCTGCTTCAATGTTATGGCATATGATTACCCATACTGTAACACAGAATCTTATTCTGAATTAATCAAATAACCATACCTTTTTGGGGCTCCCACAGTAATGCCATATGGTTTTATTGTGTAACTATTGGCAATTGACTAGGTTTCTATGGTTTTCAAACTTTACTCTACCTGTGGCAGGCAAAAATAAAAGTTGGAATTTTTTAAAAGTGGAGGTGAAAAAAAATCACAAATGATGAAATATGTGCCAGGGAGGTCTTCTCACTTGACTCAGGTTTCACCTCTCACAATTCACATTGCAGCCCCCCATTCTGTTAACAATCTAAAATATTATTATTCTATAGGATTGTGATAACTGGTCCTGGGATAGCTGTCGTGTTCTTAATGACCAATTATCTTAACATACACCGTCCTCCCTCAAAATAAATACAAACGATTGATATAATTATTGGTGTTTATTCAGTAAAGTAAAACCACATCTTTAGAGAACTCTCTTTGTTTTGTTTCTAATTATTTGTAAGTTTTATCTTTAGAGATACTGACGTCTATCTACAAAGTGAGGTACTTTTAATCACCCTGTCGTAACTGAGTCATTCTATAAATTGTATTAACAACATAGAAGACATTATCTATAGAGACAAATAAGTCAGTTATAAATTGAAAATTTAACAGAAAAGATATTTCCCTCTTTTATGGAGCAAATTGGTATTTATTTTAAAATGCCTTATGTTTTGTATCTCAGGGTTGGCTTTATAACTTTTTTGCAAAAAGATAATTTAAGAGAATAATTGCACAAGACAGGTTTTTTTGATATAATGGAATAAGTTAAGTTGTTTTAAGGATGAGAACAAATGGTTTTAATATAATTTTTCAGATATTGAACCTAAAACAGAAGATTTAAAGACTATGAAACAAAAGACAATTTGGAGAGATCTCTATGTAGCTAGTAAACAGTGAATTAATTACATATGTTGGTACCTTTCTACATGATAATTATAAAGAATAAAAGACAGTTATAATTTGCAGAAATATCAAACCAGCAGTTAGGTGGTAAGTAAAGTTCTATCATTTTTTATTTAACAACATGCCATTAAATACATGTTCAAGAATGTTGTATATTAGTTTATTAGTTTAAAGGCTTTGTATTCTATTTTTTAGCCTAAAAACTGCTAGGAAAATTGAGAAAAAGATGTCTACATCATTTACATAAAGACTTCCAAATGCAGACAAATGCAACTCAGAGAGCAATTATACAAGCAGGAAATTACTGTTCTCAAGTTTTCCAAATAAAAGACTTGGCAAATTAATTCATTATTTATTTGCTAGATTTACATTGCCTTTCTTCTAGAAGCACAAAGCATCATACATTGGAATTGTCCAATTTTCCAACATTACCACAATTCTGTAGGAAAAGTGAGACATTATGATGGGTCCAATTATTCTGAGTAATCTATCACTGATGAAAATAGACCTGAAGAAGGTTTTTCTACTCCTAGGCAATTGATCAGTAAATGAAGTAACAGAACTGCAAAAAAGGAAAGAAGGAAAGATGTGAAGTTGGTGGTTGGTTCTTTAGTACAGTTGGATTGAAATTGGCAATTCCCACCATACATCTGTGGTTCATGCTCAGATTCCTCTGGTCATTCTGTCCATTTTTGCAGTTCTTGATGTTTTTTGTTCTTAACACATATCAAAATGACAGTTCCCAAATGTTATCTAACTATAAGAGGAAGTAGACGAAGGAACGTCAATATGGTCGAAAAAATATTTACTTTATACCTCTTGGTTTGGACTTTTAATCTAGTTAACATCCTTTTAATCGGAATGGTTTCTTTAAAGTTTAGAGGGACCTATACTTATTTTCTTTACTATTATAAAGATTTACAACAAAATAACAATTTGTAATGTCATAATAATAACTTTATGTGGGTCCACATTGCTGAAAGAAATACTGAGATGTCAGAGTTCATAGTTCTAATAGGCTGCATCTCACTTTGTGGCCAAACTCTCCTGGAGTGAATAGAGGTTTCCACTTGAGGGGAAACTGTTCCCCCCCCCCACTATCATTTTCCTTTCCATTGTTGGAGAAGAGGATTTATTTATTCATTTGGTCTATATCTGATTTCTTTTTAAAAAAAATATTTTCCAGTGTATTGTATTTATTACGTATAATACTACCTAATGAATGTCAAGTAAGACTTATATTGTAAATATTTTTTTCTTTTTCTTAATGAATTAACTACATATTTAACATTGGTACCTTTTGCACATGATAATTATGAAGAATAAAAAATAGTTATAATATGCAGAAATTTGGACCAAGCTTTCATACATAAGATGACCACTAACAGGTGAATTAGCATTGGCAAATTCATCTCATAATCTATCTCTATAGGAAAAAGAAATGCATGGTAAGATTCCTAAATATTTTTATTTCTCTGTTTTTAAACAAGTTAAGTATTATTGTTGAAAATGTGCTTACATGGCATTCGATATTGTTAAAAAAAATGCTGAGATGTCAGACTTCAAAGGTGCAGTAGATTGTGTCTCACTTTCTGCCTACTAGAGACATTTTTGGTTTTTATTGGATGGGAGACTCCCTTTTCAAACTGAATGTTCATTTCCTTCTGATCGCTGTATAAGGGGGTTTATTAATTTATTTTGCTAATATATGAGGTCCTTTGATTAAATGTATTTAACAGTGATATATCTGTGTGTTTATCACCAAGTGAATATCAAAATAGCATTTATGTTGTAACTTAAGTTCTCAAGATGTCTGCTCTCAAGATTTCCATGTAAGAGAAATATAGCAAATTATTGTTATATTTATTGGCTAGATTTACATTGCCTGTCTTCTAGAAGCACAATGCACCATATATTGGAATTCTCCAATTTTCCAACACTACCACAATCCTGTAGGAGTGCAAACACATTATGATGAGTCCAATTATTCTGAAAATCTTTCATTGATGTAAATAGACCTGAACCAACTTTGTTGTACTCCTAGCCAATGCTTTTGATCACTACATGCGATAACACATCTGAAAAGAGGAAAGAAGAAAAAATGTGATGTTGGTCATTGGTCCTTTAGTAGAGCTGGGTAAAAATGGAAAAGAGTGTGCTCTAATATCCCCATCCTAAAATTTTGTTTTCTATGCTCTGTTCCTCTATTTATTCTGTCCATGATTTACATTTTTTGATGTTTTCTGTTTCTCCATATATCAAAATGCCACCACCAAAATTTTATCTAACTGAATTTCCCTCCTTTCGTTCCTTGCAGTTATGCCAGTTTTGACATAAATGAACATGGAGAATCAAACTACCTTTCCTTATTTTCTGCTTCTGGAATTTTCAAAAAATCGACATCTGCAACTTTTACATTTCTTCTTCTTCTTTGTGTTATATCTTGCAACTGTAACAACAAATCTTCTCATCATCTGTGCAGTTGCTTTTGACTATCGACTGCACAGCCCCATGTATTTCTTTCTAATGAATTTGAGTCTGCAGTATGTGGGCATTGTTTCAGTCATTGTCCCCAAATCAATGATAAATTCTCTCTTGGATACTAGACACATTTCTTACTTTGGTTGTGTTGCTCAATATTTTCTCTTTCTCTCCTTTGAAACTTCTGATTTATCCCTCCTGACAGTTATGGCATATGATCGGTATGTTGCCATTTGTCATCCATTGCATTATGAAATGGTGATGAACTGGAAATACTGTATTGAAATCATAATTGTAGTGTGGGTTACAGGTCTCCTCTTTGCAATGTTGAATACCACTGGCACTTTTTCCATCCTTTTTTGTTCTAATGTTGTTAATCAATTCTTCTGTGAAATTCCACAATTACTAAAACTATCCTGCTCTGGATTAAATCTACTTGAGGTTGGAATTCTTGTGGCCAGTATTATTGCTGGAGTAGGTTGTTTTACTTTTATACTTGTATCATATGCAGTGATCTTCAAGGTAGTGTTTAGAATCCCTTCTGAACAAGGAAGGGAAAAAGCTTTATCCACCTGTATTCCCCACCTCACAGTAGTGAATATTTTCTTTTTAAGTGGATGCTTTGCCTACCTGAGACCTGCCTCTAACACCCCATCTTACTTAGATTTGGGGTTGACTGTTCTGTATTCACTTCTTCCACCTCTGTTCAATCCAATTATTTATAGCATGAGAAATAAAAATATCAAAGGTGTTCTTTCTCAACTGTGGAGATTTTTATAAATTCTTTTAATATTGTTTATATTCTGTTCACCATAATTTTTCCCTACTTCTGTGAATAAAAGAATATGATAGAAAGGGATAGTTTGGATGCAGCAAATGCAGGTTCTCAAACAAGAAGAACCTAGCACTATATATGTTGCTTAGCAAATGTCCCTAATTACTGTCAACACCTTTTATAGTTTCTAAATATGGATGTTGGGCAGCTTTGGCATTCCACATGCTGACAATTCCTGTTGTTTAGTGAAGTGAGATACAGAGTGTACAATTGGTGGTGTGAGAAATTTTATATCAAAATATATTTTATTCTTTATACTATTTACATCTTCCCTTAATACATTAACAGAATGGTTTGAGAATCAATGTCTCCACTAGATAATTGACATATAACTGACAGTTGAAACTAAATAAAATAATAATAATAATAAATATTTTGGGGTTTTTTTGGGGGGGGGGACAATTTTTTTTCAAACTTCTTTAAACCATGGTAGAGGTTCCCCAAACCTAATCCACATATCCAAGGACAAGGTCTATAAACACAAATAGAATTAATTAAATTAGGTCTCCCAGCAGAATTACATGTTCATAAGAAGAAACATCATAGATTATATACCTACACACACACAACAATCACACACAACTCTCAAGTGTCACCCTAGAATCAGCATATAGACATTTCCACACCTCAGACAAACTCCCCTATAAAATTATGTCATTGTACCCCATTTCTCTGTAGCTGCCCCTACAGCCAAACTCTTTGCTTTTAGAAATAAATATTTTTCCTTTCTTCAAAAATGTCTGGATTTCATTTTCATTTATTCTTGAGCAAAACTGGCTCAGATTTGAACTCCAAATTATGCTTCTAACAGGGAAAAACTGAAATGCAGAGGAGGTTTAAATAATGTGGTCTATTTTTCCCCATGCTTTCCCATATGAAATGTCTTCTTTTTAATGCTGCTCCATAATGTTGTTACCTAAAGCTTCAGAATTTCTAAAAGTATATAAGTCTCTATAACACTTCTGACCTGAAATGGTCATTTCCTCATAAACTTTGATATTTTGCTCTTTTCAGTCAACCTCAAGTCCTGGCAACTGCCTCAAAAAGTTCCTATATTTTTTTTTTCCTGGCAACTTTAATTTTAAAAGAGGTTGCCATTGCCTCCTTTCAAGGGCTGTTAGAGAGGGATTGGCCCGAAGTCACACAGCTGGCAACATTCCTAAGGGGGAATAGAAGTCCCAGTCTTCTGGTTTCTAGCTTGTTGCCTTAACTTCTGCATCAGATTGGTTTTCAGTTTCTTTAGCTTAGAATATTTCTTTTCTTTAGAAATACTTTGGCAGGCCTTCCAGCTTGGTGTCCTAGTGATATGGATGCAGAAAGGCAGGGCTCTGCTTTCCATGTCTGATTTCGCCCTGCTGGGGCCCCTAAAAGGGCCTAAAGTTGCCCGGAGAGGTGATGATGAAATAGGGGTCCCTTGTTGATCATGGAGAGATGGCATTCAATCCATTTGATCTGAGGAAAGCCCTCCAAACTGGCAGGGGAAAGGCTGGCTGCATTTTAGCAACCAGCTTCCAGCTACTGACAACCGAAGAAATAAAGCACTAATTAGCACAGGGCTTTTTTTAAAAAAATTGTTATTGAAAAGCAAAAATTAAAAACATTGAACATGGTATCACAGATTTGACATATATCTCATTTCACTATTACCATTAATTACTAATGAGAAAAACCTATACAATAACATTACTTTAATCACAACCTTGAATTCTCTCAGTACAATAACTTCCCTGCTTTTCCCCCCACCATCTGTAAAATTTGTTCCAAATTTCATCCTGATTTTTAAATCTTTTAGTTAACCTATCTAATTCTGCGCAATGCATAGTTTTTTGAATTACGCTTTCCTTACTAGGTATCACCATAGCTTTCCAATTTTGAGTGAATATAATTCTTGCCGCTGTAACCACATGAGTAAATAAAAACATATCCTCTTTGCTAACATTATTTTCAAGAATTCCTAATAACAGTGTCTCAGGTTTATATTGAATATTTTGTATACCCATTTCTTTTACCCACTCCCAAACCATACACCAAAAACTCTGTGCTTCCTTACATAGCCACCAAACATGAAAACAAGTGCCCCTTTCCTTTTTACATTTCCAACATAATGGCGAGTATCCTTTATACATTTTAGCTAATCTTGTTGGAGGGAGATGCCATCTATAAACCATCTTGTATGAATTTTCTTTAAAAGATGACGCCAGTGTAATTTTATTGTTTTGTATCCATACCTGCTGCCACTGATCCAAATTAATATTATGTCCTAGATCTATCGCCCATGTCACCATTGTTTCCTTAACTATCTTGGATTAGAGACTGGATAACCCTAAAAAATCAAAGATGTATTTAACTAGAGGGGTATCACCTCCAGCAGGGATGGCATGCTCAGATGTGGAGGGGACAAAATAGGAACTATCAATATTTTTTAAAACATAAGATCCGGCAAGGTCTAATAAAAAGTTGGAACATTGTCAAATCCCAATATTATATCAAGATTCCGTCCTGGTTGTCGCCATTGGAGGCAGTCATATACCCTAATGTGCTTAGGAAAGATAAGGTTATCAGATATAAAGATATTTTGACAGAAGAGGGTCTTTTAAAATCTAAACAAGAGTTAAAACAACAAGGAATAAATTTAGAGTGGTGGTATTATCTCCAAATCCAGGCAAGATATCTGAAAGATAAACGTGAATGGGGCATACATAGTCAAGATACGGAGTTAGATAAAATGTTGCTTGGTCTGGAAAAAAACAAATAAGGAATATTTACAAACATTTATTGGAACACAGGCTATTTGAAGCACAGGGCTTTTAAACTGGTGGTACATGTACCACCACTGGTACTTTAGCACCTGGCTGGTGGTACGCGAGCCCTAGCTAATTGTAGTGGGAGAGGGAACCACTTAAACCGGAGCTGCACAGACCTAGAGGAGATCAGCTGGAGCTGCAATGCTTGGCAGAATCCCCAGGATCTGTGCACATGGTGACATGATAATTGTAGCTTCTGGTGCACCCAGAAGAGAAAATGAGGAGGAGGGCAGAGAGAAGAGAAGGTATGAAAGGGGCAGACCGAGAAGAGAGGAGGCTTTTCTTACCGAAGCAGTGAGGAGAGACAGAGTGAGCGGCCTGTTTTCGGAGGAAGGGTGAGTGAGCAAGCGGAGTGTTTTTTGGGAAAAGGCAAGCAAGCGAGTGGCATGTTTAGCAAGCACGTGTTTTCAGGTGAAGGTTGAGTTAGCAAGTGAATGAGCTGGGCAGGGGCCCAGGAATGCAGCTACAGCTGATCCGCAGTTCTGCTGAGCTGCCCAGAAGCGTGGATCAGATGTAGCCTGGCACTGATCCTG